ACAGATTTAACCCTTAAAAGAGTTCTGAAAAGACATTACAACATCCTGTCCTGTGTGGGGTTGAGAAATCCCGGGCCAACGATTCTTAAGGACACTGAGATCCGCCTGTGTGCTGGAGAGAGACTGTGAAGGCTGCGCAGAGGAGCTGAGCCTTCAGCTGACCAACTTGAGTTCCAACCAGCCCTCGCGAACGAATTGAGTTTGTAAGTCAAGGGTCCGCTGTGATGGGGGCAAGACGGCGGGCGCGTATGGGGACCACGCCCTGGAGTGATGCAGGTTATGGCGGATGACCTCTTAGTAAAGCCCGCTCTTCATTAGGTTTCCAATGAAGACGTACTTCCAATACTAGTAACAGACAGAAATAAAAATGTGCCAATTTACCCAGAGATTAGAATGTGTAATAGGACTACCAGTCATGCGTCAATGTCAGTGTACCTACAGATGAGTAAAAGACAGTGTTTCATTTTGCCGTAAGCTATGTGGTGCATTTTAAAGCACTGAGGGACAGCAGGAAACGGCGGGCAGGGACATGTGATGGGATGAATCCCACATCACCCAGTGGTGCGCGGCAGCTGCTTCACACTGGTGCTTCAGACAACGGCTGAATTTTCAGGAACGTTGAGAGCTGGTTGTTAAACGGCCATTATTAAAAATTAAATTGTAGTGCTATGTTAATCAGCACAACGTCAGTGAAGGGCTCCAAATTAATCTAATTGTTTACCTTTTCCCGTACCTGTGCCTATGAGGTTAGTGGGGGTGCTGTGTACGAACGGCCAAGGCGGCGGTGGCCAGCGCGCCTGGGGACCTGAGAGCAGCAGGGCGAAACCCTGGGAGCTGGCGAAGGCTCCGCCCGGGCTTCCATACCGGGGACCGAATGCTTCCTTCAGGGGCCCATCACGGAACCTGACGCCCAGCCTCTGAAAACATTTTAAGTGTGAAGCACTTGGCAGATGGAGAGACTAAAGCAGCGCAGGGGTGCATCCTTAGGAAACCATTCGCAAAACGGTGGAAGGGCTGAAGGCCAACAGTTCCCTTCTCAACTTTAAATGTAACTATTCCACAAACGTGACTGTCACCACCCATCAGTCACTACTGTGTCCATAATTTAGGGAATAACCTGGACCTCATACTTTGACAAAAGCAAAGGTACTGACTAGACTGAGACAAACTTCTACGTTAAATTTGAAGGTTTTGTTCTTAAAATGAAAGGTTTGTCTGGGCTCCTGCCTCCACCATTTGACTGGAAATTCTTCAAGGTAATCACTCCCCTCATTACTGCTATGTTTAATAGTCTCTTCTAAGGCCTCAGTTCTGTGGCTCTCTGGTTTTTCTGCCTCCTCCATAGATTTGAGGTTTATGTTTACTGTTCCTGAGACAGGCGCTTGATGAATTGCCCAGGCTGGCCTCAAACTCTTGATCCTCTTGCCTCAGCCTCCTGAGTGCGGGGATTACAGTGCGAGCCACCACGCCAGGGTAGGACTAAGTAGAGCAGAAACCCTATCCTAGGCCTGGCCTTGCACTATGTCAGGGGCTTAGATGATCCGCAATTGTTCACTAAATCGGAGGCTTGAGTTCTAATCTTGGTGAGGCTGAGCGTGTTGCCACCCTGTCCCCGAATATCTCTGCTCGGACATGAACACAAGGGGAGCTGTGCGGGGCACCCCTTCTCCTTCAGTTGGTGCGGAGCTCGTCTCTGTCTTGAGAAGTTCTCCCCATTTCATGCCAGTGTTAGGACCAGACAAGTCCATGTCACTGCCTTAGGAACTCCTGGGTTTCCGCTTCCCCTTGGGCTGAAGCCCCAAAGTGATGCCTTTGCTGCCTGCCGTCTCTTGCTCTGGACCAGACAGAGTGACCTTGAGGGCGTCCAATCCCCACTGTCCCCAGCCCCACAGCAGGTACGGACGGGAGCTGCACAACAAGCGGCAAGTGTTCAGTAGGTCCCCGACATCGGTCAACTGCAGGTACTGGTGCTGTGCTCCTATCCTGGAGTGACACGTATTTTATCTTCATAACCTTTTCCTCTTGAGTTGATCCCCTTCGACTCCTTAATCATTTCTGTTGCTTGTATTGAATTCCCTCAAGTCTGAAACTTCTTCTTAGGGCTGAAAAAAGAGGCACCAAACTATTCTGGATACAGCTTCCCCCGCTAGCATTACAGGGTCTGCGGGGGCAACAGTAGTCTCGCTAATGGCTCGCTGGCATAAACATCCCATCGGTCGACGACGACGTTTGGGTTTCTGCTGTTGTCTGGAGGTCAAAGCTTCTGGTGCTCCCAGCTCATTAGCCCGAAGCTCGCTCGCCCTCCATCCGATTTCCGTGAGGTGTCCGTCCATTGGGTCAGAGGCGCCGTGGTGATGTAGTCACCCTGAAGAGAACAGGGGAAGCACACGGACCTTGCACACTCACGTACACGGAGAGCAGCCCGACGGCACTCATCTGAATGCCAGGTGAGTCACTGAGCCGTCAGAAACGAGTCTAAATGAGGGAGGGCAGAGTTCAGTGAGAGGTCGTGAGACAGAGGAAACACACAGGGCCGAAGCTAAAAAGATAGTTGTGGAAAATAAGTTTGGGCTCCAGCCAAGAATTTGTCTTTGACAAAGATAAACCAAAGAATCCAATGTAGTCGTGCTGGGAAGAATTTAGCTGTTTTTTTTGGTTTGGGTACCGGGGATCGAACTCGGGTCCTTGTGCTTGTGAGGCAGGCGGCGGCACCACTGAGCTAAATCCCTGGCTTCTTAGCTGTTCTTTTAGAAGAGTTGAAGGGCCAGAACAAAGCAATAGTTTCAAAGTGCAGCTCCCTCCCCCTCTGTTTGTTGTTCTGCTCACAAACATACAAGCTGTTTCCTTTCATCTGTACAGCTCGTGCAATATGGAGATCCCACCATAGGGTTACACCAGATTGAAAAAGGAACGCAGAGTGGTCAAGGCACTGGCCCAAGAAGCGATCTTCACGTCCCTAGCTGCCACTTAACACGTAGCAACAGCAGCTCTGGACGAGATAAAGGGCCAGCAGCCTTACCAGTGAAAGGAAGAAAGGGTCATTCCTCACATTTCCAAAACCTGTAAAGGCATCTAATAACAGAGAGGGCGCATCTCCACATAAGGAACAGGGCAATGTTTTCTGTGGATGGCCAGATAGAGAGGAACGGACGGCAGTGGAGGAGGGGAGGCGTGGACCTCGCCAGATACTCTTATTTGGACCTGAAAATGCAACTCCAAAGGTTCTGCGAAACTGCTTGCCTGGAATACTGTTTTGATAAATAAGCCATATCCTTGTGGAATTGCCATCTCCAACTGTTCCACTGGCACGGACGTCTCTGCAGTGACAGCACACGCCCCAGATTGTGGCGCTGACTTGAATTACATCTCAGATGAGGGGGAGCTAAGGGAAGGGGTGGTGGCAGGGGAGGCTTATGAGCAGTATGCCAGGGCTCTGATGCTGTCATCACCAGATGGCTTCAGCTGTATCATTTAAAACAAAAACAAACATGTCCAGAAATAATATCGTTCGGGAGAGTCCTGAAACTTCACCTGTAACTGGCATTCCAGCAATTCCGTACCCATGTTGGAAATTCCGTAAAATCTCAAGAATCCTGGGAGAGGCCTCTGTCCTGCCGGGGGCAGGGTGCCAGAGCTGTAACCCTCCCGAGGACACGTTCCTTGGAGGCATTACTCTCTGACCTACAATGTTCTATGAAGGAAGAGAAAAGCAAATCTGGCTCAACCTCCTGGAACCTCTCAAGAGCAGATCAACCGAGCCGCCTTTCCAGGGCCTTGTTCTTGCTACTCCCAGAGGAAGCAGGTTTCACTTCCAATTCTGTACCTAAACATTCCAGAAATGGAACTCCCTCCAGTTCGTTACCTAATCCTCAGGATGCATGTGAGATTGGGCACTCAGTAGCTGTGTGACGGGCAGATGCCACCTATGGCCTGTCCAACCAAGCTCCGCTAGTGCTCGGAGGCTCAAGGATGACACTGGAAATCAAGTCTTGCTGGGACCCTAGAGGTTGCTCTTAGAGTGGTTAGGCAGCAGGGATTTCATGTCTGCCCTGACTTCTGGGTCTGGTGCTGATCTGGAAAGCGAGGGCCCAGGAGGTAGAGGACAGCAGCCAGCACTGGGAGAGAATTGCATTTCCTCACCACCCACACTGAGGAGGAAAGTGGGGAGGGCTTTCTAGTGTATCCCACGTGGGATGGTAGTGCAAATAGATTAGTGAGCAAAATGAAACTGGAAAGTGCAAAGAAAGGCTCCAGTCCACCGAGAGGAAGAGGAAGGTGAACTAAGTGAAGGCCCTAAGGCCAAATGGCCAGTGCACCTTCCAGCCGCAGTGTGCCCTCCAGAGCGTGCAGGTGAGCTCATGAAGTTAGGCATCAGCCTGTCCGGAAAACACAGCAAATAAACGACAGGCCAGTCAGACAGGAATCCCTGTGATTTAATTTCCACACTGGTGCCCTGGATCTTCTGAGATGCGATGAGGTGAGAGGAGAGCTTGGGGTTGGGTCTTTAAGGCCTTGGATGAGGTAGAGGCCTGGTCCCTCCCGAGAACGAGACTATCAGACACTTGCGGGGGACAAAAGACTGGCAGATGCTGATGGCTCACAAAAGGACATTTGAGAATATGGAGAATAAATCAATCCCCACTGCTTATCAGACATTTCAAACATAATCCCTGCAAGATGAAGGATCAAACTAGGCCTTCAAAATCCCGTAAGCAAGGAACTCAGACTCAAGAGACAAGTCAGGTAATGAAACAAAAGACCACAGATACCACACAGTACAAAATAGCAATTATTTATATTTTCAAAAAGAAAAATTAACATTTAGAAGTTCTCCCCTGTAGGAGGAGGGGCTAAACGGAAGGAACAGGGCTGGCTCCTATGCAGGCGGCAAGTCAGGTATGGACAGCTGAGCAATCTGGGCTGCGATTTTTTCATATAGCATTTAATAATAAAATTTCATTTTTTCTTTTCTCCTTTTTGCTTCTGTGTTTTGTTGTTGCTGTTGTTGTTTGTTTTAGAAAAGGGGAGGAGGAAAGGGAAGAGAAATAAAACCAGAGAAAAATGTCAAAAAACATTTTCCACAATATCTAAAAACAGAACCACAGTTCTTGTCAAGACAGTATGAATTCTGGGTGAATTATTTTTTCCAGTTCTCAACACCAATAAAGATTTTTGCAAAAGCCACGACCATCAGAACACTCATCTTCCAGATCGAATCGCCTCCTTCCCCTTCTGCCTTCTCTTGTCACTTTTTATGAGCGGATAAAAGGGTGTATTCTGTCCTTGTGAGCAATAAGTGCTAACAGTGAGAGAGCTCTTTTGGTGCTTGTACGGTGACGAAGCGTCTTCACAAACATCCAAGTTCTAGCACAGCTGAAGGACTAAAATTTGCTTCTCTCAACATAAATACTACTGGAATCCACAAACTGATTCTGCAAAAATCCTTTCTTCTTGGCTTTTCCCTCCTCTCAAAACTAGACATCCTTTTCTTTTTCCCTCTGTTTGCTCCAGGCACCTGACGATGGGTCTGCTCTGTCAGAGGCAGGCAGTTTCTCACAGTACCACTGCTGGGATGTGCTGGGCCAGCACCAAAGCTGCCCCCCGGTGTCAGACTGGGCCAGGCCAAAGGGAGCTCGGAGATGCAGCACAGGGTTTTTCCCTTAGTCCAGCAGCCCCGAGTCCCGGGCCCTCCCCTCCCCCCATCCCCAAAGTTACTTAGTGCCGTTGAAAGTCTGGGGCACGATGTAGTCCTTCCCCACAACAGAGTGAAAGCTCTGCAGACTGCTCTGTCTACCTGGTGTTCAATGGCAGCAACAGTAGCTGCTGCTTTTGGAAAATAAATGGAGTCTTAATGCCAGGCGGGGTCTTAGGACTGCTTCAGGCGCTTGCGCGGGGGCCCCAGGAAAGGACACTGCGCTGAAGCCAGAGAGCGGTAGGCTTCGGCCACCAAGTGAGGGTGTGACACCACCATGGACTTCCACCCAGAGGTCTCCAGGACATCCGAAGCATGACTAGAAGAAACGCAGAGAGAGAAAAGTGAGCAGAAGACGGGAACAGTCATCCGGCAGCCCAACTTCCCAGGGTCTGGTGTAAAGGATGTTAATGCAAGAAACAATGAGAACCCTTCACCCTTCGGGTGCAGTAGGATTTTCTTGGTAGACAATGGGAAGACTGATGCCTGGAGCCACGGCTGCTGTGATTCTGAAAAACCACGACTTTGAGCCACTGTATTTTCCACATCAAAAACTGGAATGTTCCTCAGGCTCTGTTCAGTGTCATCAAGGGTCTTCACACCCACCGGAGAGGATAATGGGAAAGCCAGGACTCCCTGGGTCAGGCAGCTCTGAGCTCCTACTTGCCTTTGCAGTTCGTCAGTCTTCTAACTTCAGGCCTGGCACCCACCTGAGCGTCAGAAAAGAGGGCCTACCCCGCATTCCTCCTTCAGTGGTTAATTTCCAAAATGCACCACACAAGCGCCCAGCACAGAGTGGCACTCAGTAGAGGTAACGAGTATCAGCCCCTCCGTCCCTCCTCTGCCTCAATTGGTAACTGCTTAGAAATCACCTTACAACTGCACCTTGAGGACATTCATTCCCAGCTTTGGGTATTTTCTGTGTTAAAGACTATTCATTCATTCACCTGGAACATCTTAGGCCTGTCTTACCCCAGAGCTGCTGTTAAGAAGATGTTTTTAGTTGCTGGTTTCCCCATCTTCTGCTCCCTGTCAGGCGGGGGAGTAGAACACATCCCGAGAAGACGGGTTGTGGTCACCACCTGTCCTGGCCCTGGTGGTATCTCACAGTACTACGGTCAGGTCACCTGTCACTTGGGGTAAAGGAACAGAGCTGGTGGAATGTTTCTTTCTCAGCACAGGGTATTTAACAATCTCAGCTCCTGATCACCGCAAGCTGTCAGATACATTTTACTAGCTCGTACATTTTAAAAATTTACTTCTATTTTCCAAGAAATCTGTGTGTCCTTTCTTACGACAGTGACAGCGAAGTAAAGATACTATCATCTGAGGCACACAGCTTTTTCAAGACAGCAAGTTACCATTTACATCAATTCTGACCACTGTTTGGAAGCACAACACTTCACTCACCAACACAGTTCCATCCGTGAGAGAGAAACCATTTTTGGTACTGTCAAGCTGAAGGAAAAGATGAAAACCCCATCCTCACTACCAAAGGTTAATGAAGCCACTCGCCTGTTTCACTCACTAATTCAAAGTGTTTCTCCTTTCTTCAGCTACTCCAATTATTCTGAAAGAGGAACTTTGAAGATGCAACTCACTAGTTGATGAAATCCACTGCCTGAGTTTTCAGCTGGTCTGCGCTGTGGAGGTCAGCCAGGATGAGGATCTCCGCAGCGTTCTCCACAGAGAGGTTGCTGCAGAGCGCGTCCTCGCACATGACCTTCAGGCGCTCCAGGGCGTACTGGAAGATACAAGCCCGCGGCACATCAGAGTGGCAGTTTTCTTTGGTGGTACCACTGTGTAACTGGATACCTGACCAGAACTGCACAGAGCACTAGAAGCTACCACTTGACTGTAAAACATAACCAGTCTCTGAGGCAGCTGTTTAAGCTTGAAATGGAGACAACTAAAATAACCTGGGTAGCTCTGTGTAAACTCTCAAGTCCACCCACTGGAAAAAGAGTTACACAGCAGAAACCCACCCTAGAGTTTACCCATCTGGACTATGATTAAAAGTCTTTCTTAGACCATCACCACGTACCTTTCCCGTGAGCCAGTGGCCTGCTGCAGGCAGACAGAGCACTCTATTTAAGCTTCCTGTGAGCACAGTCCTTTCTACTACCTGAGCATTGTCACTAGCCCAGCAGGGTACCCCAATGGCCCATCAGGCATTGAAAAGGAGCCCTGTGGTGACTTTCACCAGCATCTCTGCCACTAGCTGTTCTTGAGTGAGGTCAACGAAGGGCCTCCTTTCCCACAGGAAAGGATAAACGAAGTCCTATTTTATTGGGGGTTAAGGTTAAGATCCTCGAGGTAAAAGGATAAAGCAGCAGTGACCCTGGAATTCAGTTTGTTTAAAAACTTCTACCTTCTAAGTAAAGGGCAAAAATGTTCTGGAAATGGAAGGTCTCGGTTAATGCTCAGCACATTTGATAGAGCTGACTGGGTTTGATGTAATGCTACCACTTGCTCTCTAATTTGAGATTATGAACTTATTAAGGAACTTCAGGGCTAAGGAAGAGGAAAGAAATAAAAGGTGGCACAAAATAAAAATGCTATGAATCAGTTCACAGGAGAGCAGTTTGCTCCGAGGCTATCTACAGCCTCCTCACAGGCCGCGCCGGGAGGGCCTCAGAACGCCGTGACATGTGCGGCCCGGCACTCACGCCAGGACAACGTGACTGTTACGAGTTCTGGGTGAGGAGGCAATTCTGCTGGCACTGGGATCTCCTGCAGCAAAGAGTTTTATTGGTTTTGGTGCAGCTTTAATTTTTTACATTTGAGTAACTGGAAAACAGTCTCCATGGAAAATGGGAATGACACTAGACAGGCAAGAAATGAGGTTGCTGTTTTTTGTTTTAAGATGCTGGAAAAGGTTGGACAAACGTTCCATCTTTATAAAGCACTGCACAGACTATTCCTCTTATCCTTTCTAATACATTCTTTTAAAAGGACTTTCACTGTGAATAGCTCTGATCCCTACTGCACAATCAGACAAAAGTAGCCATTCTTGTCCCGTGGGGTACAAAGTTTTTTTCTTAATTACGCTTCTGAAAAACCTGCCTAATGGTGATACTTACCCGAGAGATTGAAACTGTGTCTCCCAGGCCTAGGCGACGTGTTTTGTTTTGTTTTTGGTCTAATTACACACGTCCCCAGGAGACTGAAAAGCTCAGAAGAAGCTGTTTCAGCCTCTTGGGTAAAGTCTAGGTGTTTAGATCCTTCTATGAAAGATTTCTTACTCTACTTCCCTAAAACACACAGGGAAGTGTCGAGGTAAAAATGTTTTCAAATAGACTCAGAGCAAAGACTAACAAGAAATTCTCAATGGAATTTGAAATGCACCCTTCAGACACTTCTCATTCATAGATTCCAAGGGCGGCTGTGACTCGGCCGCTTTAGTTTTCAGATGTCAATGTACTTGTCGTGTTGGAAGCTGTCCCTGGCCCGACGATTCAGGCTGATTTCTAGCCGCGTGCGCACAGTAGGCGCCAGTGGGTTCTCTGGCTGGGCAGCCAGAAAGAGAGCCAGAGACACAGTCTAACCCTGGCTTGGGCTCACTGTTTCTAAGTGTGGGTCTTGCAATACTACTTGTCTTTCTTTTTATGAGTTAATGTGTGGTTGTACGCAGAGATTTTTCCTTAAAGTGTAACACCATGGTGTCTGCACAAATCTGTGCTGTGTAAGGGCATTCTCACTCGCACTGTTACACACCTATGCACCATTCAGACTTGGTAGACGTGGGCTTATGACTGCCAAGTCTGCCTAGTACCGTAGTTTTTATCCACAAAAGCTGGACTTGCTGATGGAGTCCTACGGTAGTTTCAGGGTTACATCTTTTCCCACCACATACCTGGACAGTTTCTCTTTAGGCGACTGAATGTTGAAGAAACCTGTGTGCATAGTCACTCAGTTTTTATTACCTATTGTATCTTGTTATGCGTATTGCTCTGTGACTCCTATACATCTTAGCTGTACTGACCAAACCTGAATAAAGATTTTTACAGTAACACCTTAAAAAAAAACCCTACTTGTCCTTAATGGAATTGAGAAGATGAGAGGAATAAACAAATCCCTGATGTGTACAAGTGACCACTTCACTGAAAACCAGAAGGCATGACTGGGGATTTGGCTCAGTTGTTCTGCCATTTGCCTTGCAAGCGCACAGGCCTGAATTCGATCCCAGCATCCCCGCAAAAAAGAAAAAAGAAAACCAGAGGGCAGCGCAGACATATAAACTACATGAACAGCGAGGCACTGGGCTGTCTTCTGCTTTCCTAGAGCTTGCAGCGAATATGTTCTTACTTTCTCCACTGAAAACACATTTCCCCTGGTCAGAACTGAGGTGGACTGGAAGGTACAGACTTTCCACATTGCTAACTGTACTAATAAGATACTGAAAGATGCTAAGAAGAACAGAGTTACTATTCTAATCATCATCAGGAGCACTGATTAGGTCCGCAGACTCATCCTCTACAAACACTCCAAAAAACTGACAATAGAGAAACCTCTACTGGAAACCCAGGCACCTTCCACTGCCCTCATCAGGCACAAAGGGAGACAGGAGACTATCACCCTGAGCTCATCCTGGGACGGGGGCTCTTGTGCCTCTCACTGGAGCCCACTTTCGGGGCGGGGTGGGGGGGATTGCAGCATCACGACAGGAAGAGGGGGTGTCTCTGGCAGAGCACCTTCCTTCACATTGTGTCACCTCACAGCCACTGCCCCCATCTCCACAAAAGAAAGGGATCTACAGGGTAAACAGCCCCCTCCCCACCACGGCTGGTGTTTCCACAGGCTGTGGAGCCTGGGCAGGCCACCCACCGAGCTCTGACGGATGTGCCTACATGTTCTGGGGACCACTAATCCTCAGAGGCGATCCTTGAGAAAAGGGTTCCAGGCTTAACTAAACTGGAGAAATACTATCTACCTATTCCCTTTTAGAAAACCCTCAGTGCATAACATGATACAGGTTCTGAGAAATTCTGTAGTAAAACTGCAAATATTTGAGTTGGATAAATTCAGTATCTCTTTTTCCCCAAAGGGCTACTAGCTGTCATAAGTTTGAAGGACTATGGTGTATTTCAGTAACTACTTAGCAAAAGCTGAAAATACTAACCAAGTAAGCAGCAAATCTGACAAAGTTTGTTAACGAGCTAAAATACATCCTGCAAACTATAAAGCACAACCCTAATGTTGGTGTTATTTGAATCTTTACTCTCATTTCGGTTAAATTTGAGATGAGGAAGAGAAATAAACATCAAGCTACTCTTTCATTTCCATAGTTAGGGTGACTATATTATTCAAAGCAGGACACTTTTGAGAACAAAAAGGGTGCTATTAATAACTGTTGGAACAACAAGCATAAACCACACTGTCCTGGCTGAACTAGGATACACACTCATTTACCCACAATGCAACACAGAAGTCCATTCACAAAATTCAAGAGGTCACAATAACTCCTAGTCATACAATGATTTTTCTATCCTTACTTCACCTTGTCAGCAGCTGCCAGCAAATCATCTGCCATTTTGTCGAGGTTTGGCGCCTTCCCCGTGTAAATGAAGCACATCATTTCCTTAAAAACTTCAGGCTCCACATCATTGATTTCAACTCGATTCTATGCCAGAAAAACTGAAAATGAGAAATACTGCAAGAGAACAGAATTCCTAAACTATTTTCATGATTTTAAGCTCCGGTGAGAAGAGAAGCTTGTATCGCTTAAAACCTAATATGAATAGAAAATATCTCCTTAACTCTATTTGATTATACCCTTTTCCCCATCATATAGACTATCTTTGCCTTTTCAAATACAACAGCAAAACACTTATTTCTTTTATTTTTTCCCCTCTATTTTCCTGAGTTTTCTGAGTAGAAACAAATGTCTAATATTCTCACCCACAGATCCAAATGATCTGTCTGGGAATTAAGTAAGTCTACTTTACCTGAAATATTAACAGACCACCTCTCCCTGATCTTTAAAGGTGTCTGTCTGGGGAATTTTCCTCTATTACAATAGCACAGTAAGAAAAAAATAATTAGGAAAATAAATCTGCTGCCAAACTGGGAAATCATTTGACTCTAATCACCTGGCTAAATAGAAACATCTCCGACCTATTACATACCTTTTTGCTCTCCTCCATTTCATGTTCAAACATGGCACTAAAAACTGGAGAACGAGCTACAAAGCAAAAGGAAAACAAGGCGATGAGGTCATCACATAGGAATCTCTTGGTTCTCCCCAGTTATGACAAAGATCATTTCCTTCCTGACCTATTGCTAAAGGAAAGGGTTTTAGCTACAAATTACACCAGAATTATCAAATTCCTTTCTTTATATATCATACCGATGAGGAAAAATTGTAATACATAAAGAAAAAAAAAACACGCTACATTCAACCATCCATGTTTTAAGAAAACCACTCAAGCTGTCTGTGTTGGATAACAATGGTAAATCTTCCGCACAGAACTGAGGGTACAAATGGGAGGGTCCTCACCATCTAAGCACAGCACCATAATCCCTGGGGTTTGGGTTGGAACAAAAGCACCATGTTTTCTCTACCTCTAGGGACCACAAAGCAAAAATCTCCAGACTTGGGTCTTGCCAGTGGGTAGTGACCAGATGAAGTACCTGCCATTTACGGCAGGCGGCCTCCCTCCAAGCTGTGCATTCTTAATACAGGTGATATTCCCCGCAAGGGGAAAAGCTTTAGACATGCAATGGTCTGACTCTGCAAAGCTCATTTTACCTGATAAAGTCATCTTCCTTATTATTTAATTTCTCTCATTAGGGAGAATTTAAATTTAGTTTTTCTCCTTGGGGACCGGGATAATGAAAAAAGGTTGAGAACTAGCCTCTAACCCATGTACATTCTAGTCTAATGAACACTGAAAAATAAGCAAACAATTTCAAACATGAAAAGTAATAAAATGGCTAAGAATACAAATTTGTTCATGTTGTTGAATAAACTGGGGGTCTGGGTCAGAGTTGAGACTACCAACCACTATCTAAGAGTGGAAGAACAGATGGACCATGTAGGAGGGCTATGTGCTGCCAGGGTACTGGAACTTTTGGCCTATAGTTTATGTCAGAAAGAACTAATTTTAGCTCTGCCATTTTCTAAAGATATTCTTGGACAAATCATTTAACCTTCCAAACTTCAGTATTTTAATCTATACCAAAAGGATATTAATTCTCACTGTTCTAGAGTTATAGACTATAAGGTACTAAACACATGCTACCAATCTGAAGACTGAAGGACTAATGCTTTTTAACAAACAACCAAGGGCCCACAGCAGCAGGTAGGTCTCAGAGGGTCCTCAGTAGGTAGAGAGCAGCTGATGCAATGGAATAAATAAAATCACCTGGTGACAACAGAACCGAAGCAGACCATGGGTGCTCAGCCATGTTTGAAGAGATGAAGGGAGAGGCAGGCCATGCATAGGAAGTAGCCAGAGAAGTAGAGGAAGACTGGAAAGAAGAGTCAAGTAATACATGAACTAGAGTCTCTCAAATCGAAGAACTAGCAGGTCATATATGTAACTTTGGAAAACTGCTCTTATAGCATGGACGTGAACTGAGGACAAGTGGGAGGGAATATGTAGAGAGTAAATACGCTGTCTCAAGGAATTTAGCTCTGGAGAAAGAGCAAGTGCATGAGAGAATAACTGATAGAATAAGATTTCCGGAAAAGCAGGATGGGACAGGAACAGAGCAGAAGCAGAGAAACAGTCTGCTCTACACATGAGGAAGAACTCGTCCTGCACTGAGAATGCAGGGTGGCAAGAGGCAGGAGCCGGGGCCTCGAGGCTGTCTTGGAAGAAGTAGGCAAGGGTTATCTTTCAGGAGCAAGGAGAAATTAAAGGAGAGTGGCCGAAGCCTGAAATCTCTATTGCGGAGGAAAAAACAGGGCACAGACTGCTCCTGGAATGAAGTGCTGGCAGTGCTAAGGCCTCCCTCACTAGGCGTGCAGGCAGAAACCTAAGAGTCCATGGCTTCCTCGGCACCTCCAGTGACATCTAGCTGAGACAGGGAATGGGAAGGTGGTAGATGAGGCAGGCTGTGCACTCTAGAAGGATGAAGCTGAGGGTCTTGGCAGGGAGCATGATGCGTGTCACTATTGTCTGCCTTCTGCTACCCTTTCCTGTGATCAAAAATCAGCCCTCACTTGTCACTTCCTCCTCTGCATCAGTCTTTCTGGTCTCTACAGACCAAGACCTGAGTCTCCACATCAGTGGCAACAGTCTCATTCTTTTGTATTTCTATCACAGAGAGGGCTAAGCCTTAGCTCCATGGTATTCAGCCCCAAGTCCAAGATCTCCCTATGTTCAAAGTTCCTGTTCACAGGTGCCCTGGCATCTATGCTCCTTTGCAAATCATCATTTATTCCTTCAAATGGCGGCTTACAAGAAGAAAAACAGAAATACATACTTATGGAGAGCAGCCTGCCTAGTTGTGAGCACTAATGTCACCATGATATAAAGGCACATTTAGGTGCAAGGTTGTGTGTGTGTGTGTGTGTGTGTGTGTGTGTGTGTGTGTGTACACATCTGAGTTAAAAAACCTGAAGTTGTGCAAAAGCTAATTACACAGCCTCTGGTTTTTCTTGTTTCACAGAACTATAGAGTGACCCATGAAGAAATACCCACCTGCTAAGATGGCTTTGTGAGCCTGGAATTCCTGGCCAGCAACACACAAGCAGCAGTCTGTGAACCGGGAATTCTCCCACAGCCCTCCTAGCTCATCTGCCAGCCGGCACTCGGGGACCTTCACCATATTCATGGTATTTTGACCAGAAATATTGACGGAATCTTGTACCACACTCACCTGTGAAATATAAGGAAATAACCCAAAGCTTTTACCAGGAATTTTTCTCCCAGCAGGTGAGAGATAACTTTTACCTCAATGCTACAGAACATTCAGATCACATTCTCTTGAAACCACCTCTATGAATCCAGGCTTTATCCCACGAAGCAAGTAATTTCCTACTTATTACAATCATACGCATTTTCCACCTTTTCAGGACAATGCCAAGAATGTCCCACACATCTTTCTCCTCCAGTTTCTATGAAGTTCCACCTCCCCTGGCCAAACCACCAGGGGGAATCTGACAGAATCAAATGCTAAACTTCAAGTATTCACCTTAGTCTACCTTAGACAGAAAGTTAAATACAAAGAACCTGTAAAAAATATCACTAAAACTCCGCAGAGAAAAGAATCTACTAACTTCAGCCGAAAAGCATGTCACTTATTTGAGCTAGATCTGGGATGTGCAACTGAAACACAGGCTGTATAAGGCCTGGTAAGATAATGGACTCCCTAAAAATAACTGAAACTGGTAAAATAACTGGACTCCCTGTTAGCTGCATGACATCACTGACCTACTCCCAGTGAGGACTGGGCTTGGAAGATCCTTCCAGGAGGGCTAACTGGGTGGGGACACCATGACTTTACACATGCAAGTCATCTGTGACAATGACCCACAAGATGGCTGGCCACAGCTCTACGTGCACTTGTAGTTTCAGAACAGAATGGCAAAGCCAGGTGAGTGGAGGGATCCAACTGCCACTATGGCTTCAGCGGAAGCAGCAGCTGCAGTTTCCCCAGCTGAACTGACAATTCAGCCTAACTTCTAGATGGATCAGTGAAATTCAGACAAATTTGTTAGGGTCCCAAGTATAAGGATATATTAAAAAAATAACCACATTGTATTATAAACTTAGTGTCAATTACAGAATGAAAGATAAGATCCTGCAAGGTAGACGCCCACCTAACAGCCACTGCCCTGCTTTAACTCCTCCTCTATCACATCAGGTTAGAAAACTTCAATCCAAGCAGGGCTCACAAACCTTGACAACGAGCTCCCTACTCTTGCTATTCCTGAGTCAGATGAGAAAGCAGGTTTAGGAAGATCCTTAATGACCCAGATTTCTTTTAACCTTCAAGATACAAGTCACCCCTCAGCTGTAGTCATGAACCTAGAGGCACAGTTAATGCCCCATCCAAATGACCTGGAGTCTTGTGAAAGAGTAAGATATTTACTATCAGGTCAAGAAACTTATTCGATTGTTAAAAACTAGCTGTTATGGTCTCCAGCAAAGAAGCAGCCAAGTTAATCAATTATGAATGTACTGAGCATTAGTAGCACATTTATCAGAGGCAGATTACAACATTATTTTAATAGCCCAGGATCTAGCACAAATCACCCCATAGAGATTCTCTTGTCCTCTGTATGGTTTCTAATTTGATTCAGCCATATTTTCACATTAACACCTTCACTTCTTTTGATATAATATTAACATCAAAAGTAGGGCTGCACGTTCCTAGTTACAGCTCTAAAATACTGATTAAAAGGGGGTGGAGGAAGGAAAAGGAAAAGACCAATTAAATCCAACTTCCTTGTAAGAAAAGGCAGGAATCTCCAGGGATGGCCAACGAAGGGAATGAAGAATGCTTTTGGCACTGTTTCTAGCTTGAATTAAGTCAGGCTGACAGGAGCCCAGAGTCATTAACACTTGATGGCAATTTAGTAGACTGGGTAAAATGAACTGGCAAAAGCTGAGCTGAGTTTCACATAAACCGTGGTTACCAGTGGACCTTCTGCTGGCGAGGTGCATGCCTAGTAATGAGTGGGGCCCAAAGACTCTGACACCTCTCAGTGGGGCCATTTCTCTCTCCGGACACAGACAGGAACACAGCAGGAAGGAGAATGTACCTTTCCTGTCAGAGCCAGGCTTGTTCTGCAGATATATAGATGCCTGCAGTCTCCAGAGCTCTCAATGTCTGGCACCTCTTACCGACATTAAATACGCTTAATTAAAAATAAATTTTAAATGGCATTCACCAATGAGTCTTCAGAGCCCAAACTTTTAGCTTAGAGAGGAATTGTTTCCCTCTGCAAATGATGCTGCTAAAATGAGACCATTCTGAGAAAAAATAAAGATTTTTTTAAAATGCCTATAAAGTTGACTATGGAGACTCATTCAGAATTGCAGTTGTGATGATGACGTGACTGTGACATTTATGTCATCTTATAAATGAATGCATGAAAATGTCTCAGGAAGGCTGTATAATCCCCTAAAATTCAAGTTGTAAAAGGGTCTCACTTTTAAAATCAATTCCTTTTTTTTTAAGAAAGAAAATTTCATAAAAGACCAAAGATTGTGCCAACTCTTGAACATTTCATCCACACATAAAGTCAAAGTAAAACCCATGGAAATACACTTTTAACTTCGATAGAACAGAACCAAGCCATGCATAGTGGTATGTGGGGCAGGAGGATCACAATTCTGAGGCCAGCCTGGTAACTCAGGGAGAGCTTGTCTCAAAAGGGGGTGCAGGCCCATGTTTATAGCGGCACAGTTTGTAATAACTAAAACTTGGAAACAGACTATTTGCCCATCTGTTGGAAACTGGATAAAGATGTGGTTTTTCTATAAAATGGAATATTACTCAGCCATAAAGAACGAGAAAATAGATTCATTCATAGGAAAATGGATACATATTGAAGATATACTCCTAAGTGAAATAAATAAGGCACACATGTGTAAATACCGAATAGTTTCTCTGGTGTGAATAATCTGCAATAATACAGAAGATCCTAATAAGATTACTGACATTGAGAAATGGGAAGAAAGGAGCTAAAGGTGTAGGGAAAGTGGGACGGGTAGGGGAAGGGTAAAAAGAGAAAAGAAAAAATGTAAGATAATGAAAAGATGGAAATAAAGTGGTTGTAGATGGGGAGGGGGAGAGGGGGTGAAGGGAGGGCAAGACAAGGGGAAAAAATGAGAACCAAGACCTGTCATGTAAAGGTACAAGATACCAACAATGAATGTAACTGTACTGTATCCCTAAAATGTACCAATAAACTCAATTAAAGCTGGAAAAAAAAAAAGATCTTATAGCTTTTATCCTTCATTTTATAGATGTAGTGCATTACATTCATTGATTCACATAAATCCAATCATCCCACTTAATAATGACAAATTATCTTCTTGACATGGTATTGAATTCTATTTGCCCATATTTTGTTGAAGGTTTTTGCTTTTATGTTTATCAGAAAAATCAGTCTGCTGATTTTATTTTTTTTTAATATTCTTTTTTTTTCTTATATTCTTGTCTGGTTTTGGTTATCAGGGCAATATTTTAGAATGAGCTTGGACAAATTCTATCTCCTTTAGCTTTGGCAGTTATTTAAAAAGCATAAATATTTATCTTTGTGAAAAATTCAACAGTGAAAATATCCGACCCTGACCTATTTTGGGTGAGATCTTTTACAAAGTTATTAAGTTTGTAATTGTTTTATTATCCTTTAGAATCTGCAGGATCTGAAATGATGTCATGTCTTCCATTCTTAGATTTGGAATTTTGTAACTCCTTTATTTTTCTAGTCAATGCAACTAGAATTTCTTCATTTTATTTGATATTATTAAAATGTCTCTGTTCCTCAAAAAAAAAAAAAAGGGGGGGGTGGAGGGAGGGGGTGGGAG